AAAAAAGGGCTGAGGAGATAGCTCAGTAGAATAAGCGCTTCCCTGGCAAGCGCAAGGGCCTGAGTTCAATCCCTTGTTCCGCCAAAACAACAAAAAAAAGAACCAGAAAAAAAAAAAGAAAAGAAACTTAAAAAAAACCTTTTTATGGCTGGCAAGATAGCTCAGTGGAGTAAGTGCCTGCTTAGGTAATCATAGGGACTGGGGTTTGATCCCCAGTACCACATGCCACACTGGCCCAGGCCCTGGACGTGCTAAGCTGGCACAGAGTCCAGGTGTGGTGGCGCACACCTGTAATCCCAGTTTTGAGGAGGCTAAAACAAGAGGATCACTATGAGTCTGAGCTGCATGGTGAGACCCTGTACCAAATACATAAAAAATAAAAATTTTTAGAGGAAAGGAATGTATATTTTTAATTATAAACCTATGAATCCCTCAAAAGTGGAATTCTTTATAATGCAGATACGTAACTAACTTTTTTCTTAAGGACAACAGAACTTCTTTATATTAGGGTGTTTTAAAATGGGAAATACCACAAAAATAAAACTTAGTAAATGTATGTTACCAAAGGACAGACTAAAGGATAAGTCTCCCATAACCCATGGTATTTGGGGGGGAATGCAGTAGAGCTCAAGATGAGGGTTTTTTGTTTTTTTTTCTAAATAGCTGTGCATGACTGTTGGACTTTGGGCCTTACCAGTATAAGCATGAGTGGTTTTGTCCTTAAAATGTTGCCTTGCTCATAGGAGAGTGTTTAGAAGACAAATTAAATAGTTTACTAATAGTTTATTTTAATTAAATAGTTAAGGTGCTTTAACAAACTCAAATATTTGTTTTAAATTCAAATGTTGTTTCCCTGCCATGAATATTATACTTCTGTAAGCCTTTATGTAAAGAAAATACCTGACTGAGTACGCTAAAAATCATTCTTTTAGTGTGGACAAAGTGAGACTCAGAAAATGTAAGTAAAAAGAACCAAGTTTATTTATTTATTTAGTATTTTAGGGAAGGGTCTACAGGGTGTTCAGGGTCTCACTACTACATTGGACTCATAGTGATCCGCCTGTTTATAGCTTCCCAAGAACTGGGATTACAGGTGCCCGCCACCACGGGGCCAGCACAGCAGGCCTAGGTATCAAACTCCCCGGCCCCTGTGCCTGCTTGCAGGCGCTTTAAATCGCTGAGCTATTTGGCCAGCCCAAAAGACCCAAGTTTAGGGAAAGCTATGCAATCTCAAATATTACTTTCATCTGTAAAATAAGATTTTTAAGATAACATGCTAAATAAGTATTAATGAGATACTGCTATTTTGTCAGTCCTTGCTTGGTAGAAAATTTCAGACACTTTGCTCCTTTAAAATTGATGAAATAAAATATACTTGGCAGTACCGCCCAGTTTGTTCATTACTAGCCTATCCTTCTTTCACTTTCCAGAGTGTCCTCTTTTTATTTTACTTTATTTATTTAATTTTTGCTTTTTTTTTTGAGACAAGGTTTTGCTATGTAGACCAGGCTGGCCTCCAACTTGCAGTGATCCTTTTGCTTCAACCTTGTGAGTGGTAGAATTACAGGCATGGGCCACTGTACCTGGCTATTTTTATACTTTACTTTTTGAGACAAGATCTTACTGTGAAGACCGTGCTGGGCTTGAACACATTGTGTTGCCCAGGCTGGCCTTGAGCTCAAGGCATTACTCCTCACTTAGCCTCTTAAGTAAAGTGTGTCTTGGTTTTGACAATAAATTATGTGGTTACCTTAAACATTAGCAAACATTCGTGTTGTGTGTATTCTATATGTTACCAGGCTGCCTTTATGA